ATGCAGGAGTTGGAAGCTTCTCTCAAGTCTCTGAGATCTGTCTAGCAAGCCGGCCACAGCGGCTGTTACTGCCAGGGGCCCAAACTTAAAGAGGGCATAGCCCGGTGCAGAGTTGATTTTTGTTTTAGTTTTTCTTCAGTTTTGGCCAGCTGATCTGCACATATTGCTGCACCTAACCCACTGCTGGAAAAGAAAAGGGAAATAAAAAAAATTGGACTGTTGAACAGTTTAAAGTCCTCTTCCTTTTGCCTTCACCGCTCGACCAACCTTACAATATACATGCAAATTCTTGCTAAATAAATCTTCAATGTTCATTAAAAAGTTATGGTAGATGATGTGTGGCAAATTTCAGAATTTTAACTCAAAAACTGAATTTTTGACAGCATTTTGAATTTTGCTCTAATGTGAACAATTGGAGTCAATGTAAAAATGGCAATTTTAAACATCAGTTTTTCACTCATGGAAACGGCTTTTTAATAGGGGAACCAGGACGAGGCTAACTCTTGCTTCGGCCAACAGAAAAATGTCTTTACAAGGAAAATGGACATTAATAGAAACTGACAATCAAAACCCAGCTACAGACACACCTGTTCTGACAGATTTAGTAAACTTGTCTGCACCCGCTCTGTATTTTACTTATATTTTGTGTGTTCTTGTGTAAAGTGATTTTTTTCTTAATGTTTTGTACAGATTTGCACTTTGAACCTCATGGCTCGAGTGGTCACGTCATCTTCTGTGTATTTATTCTTGTATGTTCCATATCGCCCCTGTAAAGCACTTCATGAATAAATGTCACTTACGTACTGATGTCAAACTCAGATGAGTTTTGCTGAAGTCCTCAGTAGTGTGGCCTCGTATCACCCTGTTCCAGGCAGACAAGCCTTCATCACAGCTGCTGTTCTCACTGATAAGGTGCTTGACTTCAGCTGAGGATCCAATTAACTCAGAGGAAGCACACTTGTTTTTAATTTGAGAAAAAAAAACCCATCACTGCTGCATGATGTGAGGCGGAGATAAGAGCGATGAGATGCACAAGCAAACACCGTGGCCACAAATAATTCAGCTACACTTGGTTCATTTGTGAGAAAAGCTGTGTTTAATTTGCAATCCATAAAACTTGCAGTACATGAAGCAAATATTATCGACGGTCCGGTACAAGGACGTCTGGTGTGTTGTGTCCAATTCAACCCCGCTTACAGTATGTATTAATCTGACCTTATACAGTAACCTGAAACATACAGTTTTAATCTGGTACTTAAATTACATAATTACACATCAGGTACAAAATGTAGACTTTTAAAAAAGTTAATAATAAAATATAATCTAGCCATTATTTCCCAAATAATGTCTCAGAAACATCCTTCATTTCCTGTCATTTCATTTTGGTAAAGAGTGTTAAACAGTGATGTTAAATGACACGACATGAGACGTGAACACAGGTACAGTGTCGACAAATGATCTGGACTCACTTTACATTCCCTCATGATCCCCAGTGACACGATGCAGAGACAGAGACGTGATTATGACTGATGGATTAAATACACAGGAGCTGAACTATCTGTGATGGCTACTTAATTACAGTTTACGTGAATGTGACAAAGCATGATGACTCATTTCATCCCTGTGGCTGCAGAGAAACAATAATCATGCGTGTGTGTGTGTGTGTGTGTGCGCACAGTGTGAGTCCTCTGTTGAGTCCTGAATGAGAAAAAAGGGCTCTGCTTTTGAACCTGGCCGTGTTCGTTCACGTTGGCATTTTATCAGTAAGAATTCAAATCCAACTGCAATGAAAGAGATAGAAATTCACATTCTCGCCCAGCAGAGGTGGAAAAACACAAAATCCCTCTTTTATTGCTCTGCGAGCCTTTAGAGCGGTTAATAAATGTTTTTATTTTACCAACTGCTGTTTGATGACGTTACGAAACCTCTTCATCCAGCCACAGAACAAACCCCAAACAAACACCACAGGAAAAGAAATTTAATTTCACTTAAAGGTGCAGTGTGTAAGATACAGCCAGAATTTACAGCCCAGTCACCAGAGGAAAATGTCAGCATCGTGTGTTTCTGTAAACCACAAATATATTTGTAAGTTTCATACATATCAATGTTTCTAAAGTGAAGCGGTATATATATATATATTTTAAAGATTATTTTTGGGGCTTTTTTTGGACAGGGCAGGTTAAGCATGAAAGGAGGAGAGAGAGGGGACGGGATGCAGCAAAGGGCCCAAGGCTGCTGTGGCAGGGTCACTGCCTTTGTAAAAGGAACACCTGTTCTACCTGCTGAGCTACTGGGTGCCCCAAGTTCAGTGGTGTATGAGCTGACTGTCGTTGAGGGGTGGAGGGGATGGTGCAACACCTTGGCGAGAGGCCCGTCAAGCTGCAGACCACTGTTTGAGACCAATAAACAACAGTGATTTATCACTACCTTTCCAGCATCCCTTTAGGGTGCTTTCACACCAACAACCAAACCATGACTGCTCCAAAAGATGGGTCTTGGTCTGGTGCATTTTGTTTGTACAAGAGAAAGCAAACCAATCAACCACAGGATTTTATGATAGCAGATATGTGATGTCGACAACAGCTAAACCAGTCCTAAATCCATCTGCCATGTCAGCCTCGGGCAAATCGAGTGCCCTGCAGTGCAACTTCACATCACGTCTGCCCTCAGCCAGGTAACGATAGTGTTTGCCCAAAGGCTCAGCACTGTTTGTCACTGTTGTGAAATGAAACCACTGTTAAAACATCTCATTACAGGCAGTTTAATTTAGGCAGTCATTAAGCTTAACAACAACAAGTGAGTTAATCTGACGTAAAACAACACTGTGTCCCTCCAACTCTCCGCCAGATTGAGGTTCACCAGCTGCCCTGTGTGAGCGGAGACAGACGCTGAATTGCTTTCTAACGTCCACATGTCTTTGTAAACCAAAACTCAGTTCCAGATAATGTTTACATCTCCCACATCGTGTCTTTGATAATTAAATTTCACAAAAATGTCATGCAGTTTGGGGCTGCGGCGTGTAAAGGCGGAGGAGGAGAGAAACACGAGGTGCATTAAAGATTATTCAGAGGATAATTAGGAGAATAAGCATGTGACTATTTTAAAAAGAAAGGAGGAGAAGAGTAGAGGAAGAGAACAAATTGAGAAGTGGAGAGCAAAGGAAAGTATTGAAGAATTATGTGAGGAGAGGAGACACACTAGCCTGATTGTTGTAACTGAACATCAGCCTGCTCTGTAGTTCAGAGGGTAGGTTGGTTGGTTTATCATTTTATTTATTCAGAGAAGAGCGTTTTTCAATTCTGTGTCAAGATTTGTTGATTGTGATGATTATTTACTTTATGGAGCACTTAAGTGTGCACAGCATGGCATTAATTTCTTTGTTGTTGCCTGTTATGAATAAATGATAAATGTAGAAAGTATGTGTGTATGTGTAGCAGCTGATATTTAGACACCTCATATGTAAGCTAGACAGACATTTGCCCTGGTCTGGGCAGATAGAAACCTCCCAGCAGGGTTCACTTTGCATGTGCACATCTTGGTTTTTTGGGGGGTTTTTTTGCACTAGCATTTCGCACATGCAAAAGAAAAAAAAAGTTGTTAAAGAGAAACCATTTTTTTCCACTTGAGCACCTGCCCTGCAAAATGTCTGTGCACAGTGGGGGCTAAGCGATCTTGCAGGCTTACTGTTCCTCGCCCATTCTTAAATGGTCTCAATCCAGGTCTTAATCAAAGCCAAAATTTGTCCAGAGCCACATAATGTGAGGTCCAAAATTTGTTGGTAACTTGGTAAAGACTGAAATGCCAAAAGACTCGCCCAGCACATGCTGGAGCCAGGTCACAGGGGCAGCAGGCCAAGCAAAGCACCCCAGACGTCCCTCTCCTCAGCAACGCTTTCCAGCTCCCCCTGGGAGACCCCAAGGTGTTCCCAGGCCAGATGAGATATGTAATCCCTCCAGTGTGTTCTGGGTCTGCCCCGGGGCCTCCTACTGGTGGGACGTGCCCAGAACACCTCTAACAGGAGGCGCACAGGAGGATCAGATGTTGAACCACCTCAACTGACGCCTTTCAACATGAAGAAGCAGCGGCTCTATACCGAGCTCCGTCTGGATGTCCGAGCTCCTCCCCCTATCTCTAAAGGTGCTGACACACCAAACTGGCATCAAAGAACTAGCGGCGACAAAAGCCAACTGTTCTCACGTCGCCCTGTGTCAGTTGCATTTGAACACACTACACGGACTACATCCGACGGCCAAGTAGCACGTACGTTCTGCGCCTGCGTGAGAGAGAGCGGAGTGAGAGAGTGGTACATCCTGTCAGCTGAGGGGTTTCCTATCTGTGCAGCCGAGCACCGCAGCACCTCCACGGACTATTACATCCAGACGGTCCTGGTGTTTCCTCCGCAGGCTCCACTTCACTCAGCTGCCCGATAAACCCGCTGCTTCTTCCCACTTTAACCTGAATAACAAACCAGGGCTCGGTGCTCTGGTTGGATCCAAACGGAGAGCTGGGGCTAGCTCAGAGACTAGCGGAGGCTAACTGGCTGTGCTTCCCTCCGGTCATGCTGCGGCTAACGCTCCGCTAGCCGCTCCCAGCTAGCTCCGGTTTGTTATTGAGGTTAAAGTGGGAAGAAGCAGCTGTTCTGTTGGGCAGCTGTGTGAAGTGGAGCCTGTGGAGGAAGCACCGGTTAGCCCCGGCTTCACTACAGGCAGATTCACTCGCTACAGGGGCGAGGAAATAAAACCTGAACAGCCAATCAGAATGATCTCTCTCACCGACAAGCTCCGCCGTTGATTCAACATGCTCAATTGGCTGAAAAGCCGCTGATGCCGACGCCAAAGTGCCGATGGTGCGGGACACACCGCAAAAACTAGGCCGACAGATGCTCACCGACGGCCCGACTTTGGTCGACAGCCAACCATCGGCTTGGTGTGTCAGGGCCTTAAGGCTGAGCCCAGACACCCCACAGAGGAAACTCATTTTGGCCACTTGTATCCCCAGTCTCATTCTTTCAGTCACTACCCAGAGCTCATGACCATAGGTGAGGGTTGGGACGTAGATGGACCAGTAAATTGAAAGCCTCACCTTCCAGCTCAGCTCCCTCTTCACCACGATGGACAGGCGCAGCACCTGCAACACTGCAGAAGCCACACCAAACCGTTGATCCATCTCAGGCTCCATTCTACCTTCACTCGTGAACAAGACCCCAAGACACTTGAACTCCCTCGTTTGGGGCAGTAACTCTCTCCCAACCCAGAAGGGGCAATCCACCGGTTTCCGGCAGAGGACCATGGCCCCGGATTTGGAGGTGCTGACTTTCATCCCGACTGCTTCACACTCGGCTGCAACTCAGCTCTTTGGCCAAATATCTTTTGGTAAACTCCCTGCCCTGCTGTTAGTTGTAGTTGACTTAGAGGTGAAATGCTGCCCCCTGTTGGTTTTGAGCATGTGGCCAGGTATTACACATTGCACCTTTAAAGTTAACATTTATTATTTAGGAGATTCCCCTTGATTCTCCCTCTATTTCATCTAGTGTACGTCCACAAACCTCTGCTGCTGATTAGTGTCTGTTTGTGTATGTTTTAGATGAATTGTTTAATTAATATCTGAAACAGAAAAAAACACCTTCTTTCCAATTTGGGTGCGGTGTTATTGCTGCTACATTAGCAATGTCACTAATCATGTCAGCTCTGGTCACGCAGCAAAATATGGATTTATAAAAGAAAAGAAAGTGCATCTGTAATCTCACATGACAGTGATGCTGAATGACAAAGCAAATGATGAATGTTTTCATAGCAGCCAATTTACAGTGCCGGTGTTAGTAGGTTCTGCAGTGTTTAACAGCTTCACATGTTTGAGCCCAGGTAACAGATGACGGTGTTATGGATGCATAACAGGCCGAGAACATGCAGATTCACCAAATCACCCTCCTCTTCTCAAATATTGATCATAAACTCAGAAATAAAACCGTGAATAAACAGTAGACTGCTTTGTAAAACAAAATGAGGAAAAAACAAAAAAAAGAAAATCACATTACAGCAGTATTTCTCCTCATAAATTCAACTCTGCATAGATTTAGTTTAAGACACACACAGGTAAGAACTTATAACAGTACTATGAAGGGGAGTGAGAAGATAGACTTGGTTTCCAGCGGTGCCTCCTGCTGTGAGCTTCTAGGTGCCGAGCGTAGAAATCAGTAGAGAGGTCCTAGTGTTCAACAGTCATTCGAGGCTGTCACAGAGGCACTTCAAAGGAAACACAGAGCCGTCAGTCCCATGGTCACAAGACACTGGAGTCAAAGGAGCTCTATACGACATTCAGAGCATTTATATAGCAGCAAAAAAACATTTGCTTTGTAAGTATACAGTGGATTAACGACATCCTGAGCAGAGGATGAAGTCACGCTGCCTCTGTGTGTGTTATAATCTGAGCTTCTCTGTTATTTGCTGTGGTAGACAGTCCGGCATGTTAATGCACGTGAGTCCCGTGTGTGTATTGCACTGGCAAGCTCCTCATCACCGCTTTACACTGCTGTAATATGGCGACTACCGCTGATATCGAGGTGCCCCCCCCCCCCCAACCTAGAGTTGACTGAACTTGTTGACAACCAGCTTTGTATTACCGGTTATCCAGATGGGCAATGTTGGAGTTAGTCATATCAGGTAACGAAAAGATATCCTGGGTCAGCTGAACTGGTCTTCGTAGTACAGGCCTCAGGTCATCTGGATCTACTTTGTTTGATGTGATTAGTTTGTCCTGATACCGTTGCTTTATGGCCGCAACACTGACCTCACATGGTGTTGCCGTGGTCTGATAAATTTAACATGCCGTCATGTCTACTTTCTGGTTTTGTCAAAAATATTGATTAATATATTTAATATATTATGACGTTTTGATAACAGTTTCAGTCCTCAGTTTTCACAGTATCAATACACCGGTACCAGCTGCGCTTTCTCGCTATCGCTTATTGTAAATGTTCACTCTTGTTGTCATGTTATATTTATCTTTTAATAAAAATATTTCACTTAGAGCGCCACCTTGGTATGCAATAGAGCGGTCACTGTGTATTTCAATACCTCCATTGCTGTTCTTGTCGGTCAGAATGCCTCCAAATGCTCGATCCCATCCTATTATCTGTCATTTACAGGGACTATGGAGAAAGGTGTCTCGTATATTTGAGATTAACCCCTTTTTAAGTTTATCCTCTGGTCTATGGGACAACCCAAAACTCCTTATGCGTAAATCATCTCCTATATGGAAGGAGTGGGTGATTAAGGGGGTAAATACTCTGGGTGATCTGTATAAATATGGTGTCCTTAAATCATTTGACAATCTGGTTGAACAATTTAAGCTAGCCAACAATCAATTCTGGAGATATCTTCAGCTGAGACACCTCCTCGTCACTACTTTTGGCTCTACACACACACCACCCCAGGGCATGGACTTCATTAAAGAGATTTTACGGATTGCGGGGATTAGGCATGGGGCCTCCCATTATTATTCTATGCTTATGAGTAACTCTGGTTATCCATCCAATACAGCTCTGAAAACCTTATGGGAAAGGGATCTGAACATAACATTTACAGAAAACGATTGGGATACAATTGTTGGAATCACTAAACAAGTCTCCAGGGATATCAAAATAAGGTTAATTCAATTTAAAATCCTTCATCGATTCTATTGGTACCCAAATAGGTTATTCAGGCTAGGGATGAAAGAAACACTGGATTGCTGGAGATGTGTGGGCGAGTTGGGTACCCTAACACATGCCCTATGGTCGTGCCCAAAGATTCAGACATTTTGGAAAAGGGTTCATGAGATTATCACAGAGGTCATAAGAGTGGATTTTGAGTTCTGCCCCAGTCTTTACATATTAGGTAACCCTAAACCCATGGCCCATATTGTAAAACCCTTAACCAACTGGATTCAGACAAGTATTATGATTGGTAAACAGATGATAAT